TATAGGATTAATTACATATGTTATAATATTCGCTTTGTCTGATTTTTCAAATGCCTAGGGCATTGAGAGAGAAAAAGGACTAGAACAAGATATGACTAAAGTTGTTAAACATTTGTTAAGATCAATCTGAGGTTCACTGAAGATTGGTTGCTTGTGGACAGTTGGAAGTATAGTATTTGGAAGGACCCTAGTGACATGCTTTGATTGGGGTAATTCTTCATCAGAATTGATAGTCGTATAGGAATATGAAATTTTTTCCATAATGATAGTTGGTGATTAGAATCTACAGATGAGGTAGAAACCTTAATGCAAGGAAGGTGTTCAAGGAGTTACCTTAAATTTGATACTTCATTACCATGAAATTATTTTAAGTACCAAAGTTTCAATGGAGCATTTTGTGACATCGTCGACAAAGTCTTTGTGACTTTCAAGCCACATCATCACAAAACGATATTCCATGCAAGGTTAGACTCCAACACATTTGGTGGTGCCAAGAATTTGGAATTCTTACACTTGTAATATGGATTTGGAATTAGGGAATGAGCATCATTGGAATTATGTCAAATTGATATGTTCACAAAGGAAGGACCATAAAGAAACATAGTATGCATGTTTGGAATATGGCATGACTGATGTATAGTTCAAGTATTTAGTTGATTAATCGAAACATTATACAATTAATAAAGTCTAATTATTATGGTGATTAAATAACAAGTGTTATATTTATATTCAATAGTTTTGAGACCATAGTTAATTAGGTTATTATTGTGTTTTACTTTGCAAGTTTTACTTCCTGAATAATTGGATTATTCAAACATCCATAGTCGATCATACTTTTGGAAGCAAGTAGTGAATTAAGACTTTCATGAATCAGACTGTTGATTGTCTAAGGGTTTAGACACAACAATAGTTTGTTGCAGTATTCATGAGTACTTTTGAAATGGGGATTTAAGTATTTGATTAACCCATACATAGAGAATTACTTCATGTATTTTATCACAAATAATTTTGAAACGATAATATCTTATATTCTTGAAACAGATACATATGAGTTGTAGTTTATTAGTCAGGTGTGTATTGATAATACATAAACACATTGATAACTTCATGTTATAAAACGTATTGGTGTTCATGATTTGATGAGTGAATATTGCAAGCAAATAGGTTGTAGTTTATCCATTCCTTTTACCTTAAACAGGAAAAAGTGATATATGTGGGCCTCTCGATGATTTGATGATGACATCTAAAGTGCTTGGCCAAGCCTGGACTGGATTGATGTGTTTAATTAGTAGTCTGATTTCAGTCGTCATAAATCGAAAATCGGGAAACAAATATTGGATAGAGAGAATGATTATAATCAACGTATCATGTCCATACGATATCTTGTAGAACGGATGAATGTTTGATCACTTATTAAAGGACACATCACTGACTAGGCCAGAGTTCGACAACGACTTTTGGTAGCTACAATATGCTGGTCAATTTTTTAAGTCATACTGGCAACTATAGTTATTAGACTTATCCAAGTGGAAGGCTATTGGATTAGGTGTCTAAGCCCATAACTATAGCTGATATGTGCTTGAATTGATAGTAACAATGTCCTTTTGGGTTGCCTTCAAACCTTGCAGTTGAATAAGGATAATTGTTAAGGAGAGAAGAATGATTTATTAATTTATAAATTAATTAGAAATCAAAATGAATGATTTATTAATGTATTATGGAAATAATATATTAATTAAAAATCATACTATTTAATAAACATTTAATCAGAAATTAATTTGGAATTAATTTTAAATTAAAGGAATTAAATGAAATTGCAGGGACTAAAGGTGACAATGTTCAATAGTTGAGCATCGGGTATTCTAGAACCTCCTTAAAGTGGGGAATGAATTCTAGGGTGTTCCTAGAGTTTCCTTGGGCTCTAAGGGTGCCTTGAATGCATTAGGGAGGAAGTTAAGAGATTAGGGTTATCTTCGATACACCTACCTTATCCAATACCTTCCTAACACCTATATAAACCCTACTTTAGGTTAAATTTTGGCTAACCATTGATGCTAAGTGCCTTTGGCCAAAAATTATGATCTACCTTTCTCTGTCTAATGTATTCCTTGGTTTCTTGGTTTGTTTGTGAGCCATTAGAGGTACGAGACTTGTGGTGCTTGCTACCAAAAGTATTTCAAGCAAGTATTCAAGATTGTTTACAATAGCAATCTGAAAGGTATGTATTATAACCACTTTTATGTGAACTTTCGATTATGATACGTAGAACAGAGTAGAGCTCCTTCTTTGTTGTCCATTTCAAACTATCTTTTGATGTTTTTATTATGTCTTCATAATCATGTGGCAACTTTTCTTCTTAATATGTGTCTGAAAGAAGCATCTTTAGCTCCTATAAAAATTTATAGACAAGAGGAGGTACCGCAATTTTAATGATCTCTTCATTGTTCATTGATTCTTCAAAAATATCCTGAAATCGAAGAGCGATCTTAAGTTTTTCCACAACCTCATTCATCTTTGGCCTTTCATCACGTGATTTCTACAAACATCGATAGTTAATGTCTGAATATGTTTCCAATGAACCTGGATCCATCTATTGCTTCAAATCTTGAAAGATAATCTCATCCAATTTCTTTTGTTTGTAGTTTTTTTTTTTCCACAAATGCACTAACCTTCGCAAATGACCTTTGTTATATTCAAAACATAGTCTCCTACACAATACTTTAACTAAGACCACACCGAAAGAGTATACATCTGATTCTTTTGTTAGAATGCTCGTGGCCAGATACATCATATCTAAATACCAAAAGGTGCCTACAACATTGGAGAGAAGAAAGGTGTGCAGTTGATTAGCAGGTCCAATTTTCGATAGTCCCATGTCTGAAACTTTAGCATTCCAATTCTCTTCAAGTAAAATATTGGAACTTTTTATATCACGGTGGAGAACTCTTTGTTGTGTCCCTTTTGGATCATGAAGGTAGCATTGTCCCATTACAGCCCCAAGGCATATCTCTAGGCGTTGTCTCCATGTGAGAGTAGGTCTACTTAAGTGGTGATCAAGGCTTCCATGTGATGCATGCTCATACACAAGGATCTTCTCACCATCTTCCTCATAGAATCCAAGGAGAGATATGAGATTTTCATGTGTGTAATGAGAAAGCATCAAGATTTATTTCCAGAACTTATAGTCTACTTGCCCATATGTACTATCAAGATGTTTAAAAGCCACCACATTTCTCCCTTCACACTGAGAGAGTAGTACTCCTTTGTACACATTCCCAAATCCACCTTACACTATCATCCTATCTAATTACTCTTAACATATCACATATCGAAATAAATTCATTAATTCATACAAGAACCCCGAAATATAACTTTTTCGATTTTACCCTTTGGCTCTAATGCATAATTAATGGGATTAAATCACATAACCAATATTGTCATCATCCAATAGTGTCTAAAACGTATTCCCTTGATGCCCAAAACCTTTATTCGATCAAATTATAGTCTACTATCCCGAAATCAGAAACATCATAAACTGGATGTTACATTATGTAATTTTCATTTTTGTAAAAAAAATAAATTATATTAAAATTAATGGTCTCTGTGAAGGCATCGCTTAATCCCCACTTTGAACGACTAATCCTCTAACCTGTGCTGACCGCCTGACCATTGTCTAGTGACTTTTACACCCTTGATATGTATGTATGTACATATGTTCGTATCTACGTGTGTACATATGTATGTACGTATTTATGTTGGTATGTATGCCTATATGTATGTATGTATTTGTATATCTGTGTATGTATGTACCAAGAGACTTCTAACCTAACGGTATCAGATGTTGCCCTCCCTCTCTGAGGTCGACAGTTCAAATCACATCGTGGACATTAGTGGAATTAAGGAGTAGTTTGTGAGTAAATTAGATCTGTTCAAAAAAATGTGTATATGAATGTATGTATGTATGTACGCATGTGTATATATATATATATATATATATATGTGTGTGTGTGTGTGTGTATATATATATATATATATATATATATATATATATATATCAACTGTCAAGTGTGTTTAGTGTTTAACAATTTTCAGAGCATGAATAGTAGCCATTTAGCCGTATTAGTCAATAGTTATTACTACGTTAAATTATAAATTAAAAAGTTACTTTTTTAAAATTATTTAGTAAATTAAATGAATTAAATAAGTAATTTCTTTATTAGACAACAAAGTTACCTCATGTTAACTCTTATACAAGAAAATTAGAATAAAGTTAGTATATACAATTATCAATTTGTAGCAACCAAATTTACTGGTAGCTGAATAAGTTGGTTAGAACAATTTTTGGTAATCTACTGATAGCAAATAATTTGTATCTAGCTATATTTGGTATGATATACAGATTGAAAAAAAAAATTCTATGGTGCCTTATTCATCCCTAGTATTTACAATTAATTAATTCATCGGTTTAAACTCAATGCCTTGTAGAATAAGTCCTTCAAGTGACTCGTTAGCAGAAAAGTTCAATCCACAATCCATTAAAATCTTTTCAGAAGTAGTGGAGGTATGAAATTCCCATACTTCTACATCCATGGTGGTTTGAAATTCCCATATTTGTACTTCCATCCAACCATCATTCCGTTTTTGTGGAATGCCATTCATTTTGCGTCTCTTTAGTGGGTTGTAGGTGTTTTGATTAACCTTTCCTCTAATAATTGGGAGTTGAGGACAAAGTAAATAGATATACCATGAATGATGTCCATAACTCACTTTCAAAGGCAACTCAAAACGAGAATGGTATGCTTGTAATTTGTAAACAAGGTAAGCTGCATACGTTTTTTGAGGTGGCAACATTCTGAATAAGCAATATATCGAAAAGTTGCATCGAGGACTATAAGCCACTACTCCAAATCTACAAAAAGACATCATGTTTAACAAAAATGAGAGAATAGGATAATGTATTCATTCAAAATTAAGGGTAAAAGAAAACAGGTTGAGTGAATAGATGAAAGAACCTTGATTCAGGTAAAGATCGCCAACTCCAATGGCCTTTAGTCAAAGCCACTCTTGCTGATAACATATAACATTTCTTCCCATCTTTTGCAAGAGAAAACCACTGTAATTCAGCAAATGTGTAACTACTTGTGTTTTATAATTCTAGAGTTCTTCCCATAAACTTAGTAAAACCATGTTCATAGCTTGGCTACATATGAGAATTAAATAAGTTTACGAACTATATGTTTCAGAAATATACCTGGTCACCATCATTGATAGGGAACCCTTTGCAAAGAACATAGTAGAGCTCCTTCTTTGTTGTCCATTGCAAACTATCTTTTGACGTTTTGATTATGTCTTCATAATCACGTGGCAACTTTTCTTCCCAATATGTGTCTGAATCAGTTTGCATATCCATCTCCTCATCCCCTACCACTTCCTGCTCCACCTATACAACTTACACATTAGGTATTGATTGATTATTGCAAAAAAAACTATTCTCCAAATGTGATTTATTTGATACCACGAACAAGGTGACCCATATCGATTCTGTTACACTAAAAAAATATATAAATAAATAAACCAGTATTTGCGGTTTTACTCTATCCAGGGGCAGAAACGCGATGCCTTCAACTATCAATGGTTCCTCGGATAGAAATGTAATTTCAAGATCAAAATTTTTGTTGTCGCTAGTAAAATGATATAATTCTGCCATCAAACATCCATCGTCTCTTTTCTCTACTAAGTATGAGGTCCAAGATTTTGTCTCCTCAGCCAATCTGTAACAGAGGCCTAAATAGTTTGTGTTCTTCAATTGGAACACAAGGTTTACAGTGTATGTAGTATACTGTGACAAAAATTGTGGTCTGATATGTGTTTTGAATTCCATACATAATGGTTGATGGCCATTCACTGCAAATCTGCATGAAGATTCTATAAATCTGCATCAAATTGCAACAAATAATACATTACTATATATATATATAATCATGAAACAGTCTCAAAAACATGGAAACAAAAAGTAGAAGCAAATGTAACCTTGGTTTAGTTCGTCGATAATAATACTCAGATACAGTGCGAATAGGAATCAAACATTCTGCTGCAGATATTGTTTCACAATGTTCTCCATTCTTATTTAGCCAAAACCTCTATCCATTAAAAAAGATCATATGTTAATTCGGCTGATGTAGGATATGAGTACTTTTACAAGAGTAGGGTTGCATGGAATGTCATTTTATTATATAATTGTTGGAGAAATTTATACTTTACAAGCATTATTTGGTTTTGAAAATGCGAAAACCCTCAGATTAAGCTATAATATAATTTCATGAATCACAATTTATCATTCATAAACAAAAATATAAATCAGTGGTTTATACTTCATACAGACATAACTAATTAATTACCGTTCTACCCCGGTTAAGGAATATTCCTTTTGAAAGAAGAATCTTTAGCTCCTCAATGGATCTGTAGACAAGAGGAGGTATTGCAGTCTTAACAATCTCTTCATAGTTCATTGATTCTTCAAAAATCTCCTGAAATCGAAGAGCGATCTCAAGTTTTTCAACAACCTCACACATCTTTGGCCTTTCATCACGTGATTTTTGCAAACATCGATAGGCAATGTCTGAATATGTTTCCAATGAATTTGGATCAATCCGTTGCTTCAAATCTTGAAAGATAATCTCATCCAACTTCTTTTGTTTGTAGTTTTTTTTCCACAAGTGCACTAAACTTCGCAAATGACCTTTGTTATATTCAAAACATAGTCTCCCACACAATACTTCAAATAAGACCACACCGAAAGAGTATACATCTGATTCTTTTGTTAGAATGCTTGTGGCAAGATACATCGGATCTAAATACCCAAAGGTGCCTACAACATTGGAGACAAGAAAAGTGTGCTGCTGATTAGCAGGTCCAACTTTCGATAATCCCATGTCTGAAACTTTAGCATTCCAATTCTCATCAAGTAAAATATTGGAACTTTTTATATCACGATGGAGAACTCTTTGTTGTGTCCCTTTTGGATCATGAAGGTAGCTCAGTCCCATTGCAGCCCCAAGGCATATCTTTAGGCGTTGTTGCCATGTGAGAGTAGGTCTACTTAAGTGGTGATCGAGGCTTCCATGAGATGCATGCTCATACACAAGGATCTTCTCACCATCTTCATCACAGAATCCAAGGAGAGAGATGAGATTTTCATGTCTGTAACGAGAAAGCATTAAGACTTCTTTCCAAAACTCAGAGTCTCCTTGCCCATATCTACGATCAAGACGTTTAAAAGCCACCACATTTCTCCCCTCACAGTGAGAGCGTAGTACTCCTTTGTACACATTCCCAAATCCACCTTTCCCAATAACGTTGTTGTTATCAAAGTTGGTCGTGGCTAACTTTATCTCTTCCAGTTGGAATTTAAGATGTTGAAACTCTTCCATGAATGCCTCCATTTACAAACAAAAACTCTTGATTATAACTATAATCAGAATTGAACTAATAAGACTAAGAAGTCCTGTTAGTAACAAGATGATCTAATAGTGTTTTGAATCCACAACCCACTTACATAAAAAGACAAAAGCTAAAACTTCATCAAAACAATTGAGTTAAGAAACCTTACTGATGTTGAGAGAAGGATAATTGAGATAGAGTTTAAGGACTTTGTATTTGCTTATAAAAGATATGAAAAAAGAAAAAGAAAACCAAATTTCCCACACTTAAATTTTCAGAAGTTTCACTAAAGTCCAAATGTTTCTCAAGTGGACCCTTTTAGAATTTAGACCCTGATTAGCTTTTATTGTATTGTTAAGTTGTTATTACGTAAAACACAGAGATTCTGATTTATTTAGTGCTAAATATTGGACCTCGTAATGGGTTCTCTAAGATCCAAGGATCTTATATATTGATTTCGCGTCAATTTAATATATACAAGTAATAGTTGATACATTAATGATTAAAATATAATCAACAATTATGTAAGTTCTTAATATGCAATGATATAAATGATGATGTCTTAGCGATTAAGCACTAGACTCTACAGTCCACAGGAACTAGCTTTTTAGTTTGCTTTTGATTTTGGCACTTTCCAAATACCAATAATTGATGAATTGGACGTTAACGATAGCCCGCTTTATCGATAACACGTGCTGTATACATAATAGGCAATAGCTTTTCTGGTATAACGTTTTTTTTTTTGTTCTTTTTGGTGTCAATCCACATTATTTTCTTTTATTTTATATACCACTAAACAACCATTACATAAAGTTGTTACATTCACATCTTTCACTTTGTTCGGCTTTTACCTGTTCCACTTCATACTTATCAGAATCAGACCGCACATAACCCTAGCTTTGGATGCAGCAAAGCAAACTAAAGAGATTAACTATTCAAAATGCTTTACAACTATGTTTATTAATAATATAAAAATATATAGACCTTGTAAAGATATTCAACATATTGATTTTTATAAAATCCAAAAAAACGTCGGTGAGTCACGTATCTTGCCCCTACCCATTTTAATTCATATTAAAAAACTATCCAACTAAACCAAAACGTGTTTATACTTGTACCTAGTTCATTGAATCCGCTCATTTGAGTTCCACCGGTGAACATTTGTACTCCATTGAAAACAATAATATACATATATTATGGTAACATGGATTAAATTATTAAGTTTATGATGAGCAAGTTAATTAGCTATCACCTAATGGCTCACCTTGTAAGACATGGCTTCTCATAGGAGATCCGAGTTCTAATTATGTGGGTTTCAATCAAGGTGGCCAGAAGGGTGTAATGCAGCGGAGAATATCATTTATAAGAAAAATATGAATAAGTTGATTTACTAAATCTGGTGTGCATAAAATACATTATTTATCTTTATTATATTAAAAAGATTTCTAATATTCGTTATTTAATATTTAATAGCTATTGCAATAATCATCACATAAATGCAATAAGAATAAGTAGTCAACAATGACCCCCCACTGACACATCAACATCAAATTTATAAGTTGATAGCAATTGACATATCAACATCGGTTGCACTCCTTGTTACCCAAAATTCTTACCACACATGCGTAGACATGGCTACAAGTTGATAGCATATTATATTTGTTCCCATTTTTTGCAAGACAAAGCACTAGCTAGCAATCAATGAATGTGTAACTACTAGTTATCATTATCCGGGAGTCCTTAATTCCCTTTATACTTTGGTAGAACTGTGTTCACGGGCTCAACAACAACCATGCACACATGGAAAGTAAGCAATTAAAATGACTTGAAAATCATATCTGATCTACCTCTTCACAACTTTTGCGTGGAACTCTTTGCAAGGAATAGAGTAGAGTTCCTTTTTTGTTGTCATTGCCCACTATCTTTTGACCACTTAATTATCTCTTCATAATCAATTAAGAATTTTTGTTCCAAATAAGTGTAAATGTTATATGGTTAGCATATCAACCTCCTCATCCTCTTACATTTGATGCTTTACCATAAAACTTACACATTAGACTTTGATAGACTATGTAAGAGAACTCTTATTCTACATTACTAGCCTGGTATTTGTCTGCTTATTCCCTCCAATGCCTGAAATTCGATGCCTTCTACCGTCTATAGAAGTCGGCATCTTAACGTAATTTCAAGATCTACGTTTCTCCACTTGCTAGCAAACTTATGCAATTCAGACATCTTTTCTCTCATCTACGCAAAGTATTATGTTAAAGAAATTTTCTCCCAGCCAGTCGTACACAGTATTGTATTTACCCTGTAAGTGATATGTGGGGAAAAATTATGTTGTCATATGTGTTTGAGTTCTGAACAAAATGGAATTTTGGAAAATTGTGTCCATTAGGAGAGCTCAAGTTGGTTTGGCTTATTTTGCTTTTTGTTTTATGATGCATGCCAATATTTAATGTAAAGGGAAATCACGCATACATGTATGTGTTGGTTCCTAATTAAAGATCTATGAAAAAACAGTTTGTTAAATCATTTTTGGTGATCCGGTGCATTGCAATTGAAATATATAGTGCTTTGCGAGTGTAAAACAAGAATAAATTGAGAGTGAAAGTACGTTATTGACTGTTTACTTTACAATGAGGCGGTACAAGACTATATATAGATGCCAGATCCCTAGACAAAGGAAACCCTAGGGGCCCATGGGTTAGATAGGCTAAAACTAATAGATACGTTATTTACATTCTAACACTCCCCTTCAAGCTGGATCATAGATATTAATCTTGCCCATCTTGTTACAGATAGCAGAGACATAACAACAGGGGTGGAGCTAAGATTTATGAATAAGGGGGGCTGACAGGCTCACATCATCATAATAATATATTTAAAATATAGTGTTATACCTGGATAAAGTAATATGTCTAAAATTTTCAAAGAAAAAATCACCAAGAATTAAAAACTTGTCTCTAGTAACCACAATCTTCCAAAGTTTTCAACTAACTATTAGCATTTATAAGCATCGACTCATATTCATCCATTAACCTGCAAGTATTCAAATAATTAGTTAGAACACATATACATATGGTTCGCTTTAGAAAATTAGAATATATATAAACATAAGAAATAGTACCTTATGCACTTTAAGTTGTGCTCGTATTTATTTCATGGAATAGAAATCTTCTATAATCTCATCCGTAGGAAATGTATCAGCAATCTCTCTCTCAATGTTAACAAGCAAACAACTTTTAAGAAAATCATCATTCATGGTATTTCGAAGTCGTGTTTTCACAAGTTTCATTGCCGAAAATGTTGTTTCAGATGTCGCAGTAGAAACAGGTAGAGTCAATATAAGATGAATCAATCTATCAAACAAATGATAAGTACCCGACTTTCCTGTTTCATGTAGGCCTCTACACAACTCAGAAATTGTAGAAGAATTTTTCAGTTGTGGATGATTTTGCACATCTAGTTCATAATGTTGTAATTCAAGTTTCAACAAATTCCTTTCATGATCTGTAAAGTGTAGAGGATAATATGATGTTGCCAATTTACATATATCCTCAACATTTAAGGATTTTCTTAGATCTAACATAACACTGAGACGAAGAAGCTCTGTTGCATACTCATTAAATCTGGAGTTCAACTCTTGCAAATGACTATCAATAGCAGCAATAAATAGTTCAACCCGGTAGTGATGCTCTGTGGTTACATTGTCTTTGTTACGACGTTGGCGAACTACATATCTATATGTTTCATTCATGTCAAGGACAATAATGCAATTTTTGTCACAAAAAACGAACCACCAGATCCAAAAGAGATTGCCAGCATTCATCTCTAAACTTTTGAATCAATATTTTTGTTGTAGAAACCAAGGCCAGAACATTAACAATATCTAAAGATTTTTGTTGTAATGTTTGGCAAAGCTTGTCAGTTATCCCCATTATTTCTTTCATCATATGCATAACAATGACAAAATCGAATGATAATGCATGTGTAACTGCATATGTCGCATCACCTCTTTGAGAAGATGTAGAACCTTTTATATCAATTTCATTCAATACTACACAAGATGGACCAAACAATCTCATCAAACTGCATATTGATTTGAAATGAGAACTCCACCTAGTATCTCCAGGCCTTTGCAGTGCTCGTATTTGATTTGTGCATGTTCCACTCTCAAACTCTCCAACCTCGGTTAAATGAGAAATCTCAGCAATTTGAACATCATGCAATTGATCGTTACGTTTGGAAGAAGAAGATATGACATTAACTACAAAGTTTAAAGTCTTAAAAAAGTTATGTACCTCAGTCACATCTTTAGACGCTGCAACTAGAGCCCATTGCAGTTGATGGGCAAAACAATGTATATAATAAGCATGCATGCATTACTACAAGAAATTTGGGTGTTTACCCACACACGTTATGAGTGGGTAAATGCCTTATATGTGTTGGTAATTGTTTTTACCCACACATAAATTAAGTGTCGTTATGTGTTGGCTCATTTCTGTAGATAAAGATCGTTACCTACAAATTCGTTATGTGTGGGGTATAGAACGAGCTATACCTACACATTAATGTGTGGATAAAAACTAGTAAGTATGTGTGGATAAAAGTATTACAATTTGTTGTGATGGTTGATGACATGTCTAATGACATGGACAATGATGTGGGCTACATATGTGATGTGTCAAGTTACATGGCATCTTACCCACAAAGAGCGGGTGAAACGTGTCATAACATATGTGTGGGTAAAGATACTTTTATGTGTAGGTATTGATTTTTATATGTGTAGATAAAAAATATAGTTAATACAAATATTACTATTAATATTATAATGAAAATACAGTAGGTGGATGAACTAAGCTAATACACAAATTAATATTAATATTTAAAAGTAACACATAATTCCTTAGTAGAAACATTACATCATCCAACTTTAACCTACCCTATCAAAACATAAATATAACCTAATAATAATGTTGTTAAAACAATTTTAACAGTT